TTTCCAAGACCATCTTTTAACCCGACACTGAAGAAAAGGTGAAAAGACTGCTCGTTTTAAGCCGCTTGCTTGACGTTTATTATACTGTATCTACTAAGCAGTTAGCAAGTAGTTCGGAAGTGGTTGGTAAGTAGTTATATACTAACATCACTAATTAGAGCGCTGACTTCAGTATTTGAAAGTCCATGTGATGGAACTACATATGTATATCCACATAGTGCAGTTTTTGGATACTCAGGAAGATCATCAATATACTCTATAAACTGAGTAGTTAAAGGTGATGCCTTTGCCTGAGTCAGAAAGGTTAATGGTGACGGTTCCTAGATATAAATTAATTTCTAAGTACTTGATAACTACTTAGGAAATTACCTGGGTTGAGTATTCCTCTTCCGTAGAACTAAGTTCAATAACTTCATGAAAATCCATGTCTAGAAAGTACTTGGTAGGTACTTATAAAGTACTTGGTAAGTGCTTGAAATAAAGTGTGTAATGAACTTGGAGAAATATAAGAGGAAGTTGAATTTCAATAATAAAAAACAGTAATTTATAGGGTCGTGTGGAACGTTCCTGCTTATATAAAGGGCTTGGCATCACGTGCCGCGGGAACGTTCCACGTGTACACAAAGAAAAGTTCATGTGAACTGTGTTCACGGATGACTGGAAGCGAGGCATAAAAGTGTGCTGAGTCAGCCAACCGCACAAGTTTGTGCATGAGGACGGTTTGAGTTTGGGTTCGTTGAGACGCCCATCGAAGTGAAGCGATGCCCGACACGGCGAAGATCGCATTTTAGCGCAGAGATTGCGGTGTAGGTCCCTTGCTTCGAATGTTGCCTGTCGTGGATTCTTCTTTCGTTCTGTTGCTTTACACCCCGCAATAACCTCGAGGCTGTGACGCTGTGTACTACGTGTAATCTGGTCCCCTGACGTCAGTTGTTTTTAAGCTGCGCATTCCTCCTCGGACAGAAAGAGCTCCGCGTGCCCATATGCATTGATAACCCGAGACATCCGTCAAACGCCCTCAAGCGCAGAACACGACTTCACGAGAGTCATGTCGCTCACGCAATCTGCTGCGGCAGCGATGCTGACCGTGGTTGATGCGCCCATTGAAGTACATGAGCCGAGTTGGGGGGATCAAACGGACTCTCGCGACCTCTACACTCAGTTTGTCATTAGTTTGACTATCGGTCTGGGCGCTTTCCTTGCTTTCTGTGTAGGTACCTGGAAGCCACTTGGAAAGCCTTCGTCTCTAACCAGCCGAATTGGCATAGGTTCTGCGACCGAAATGGACCGAGCTGTATGCCGCGCGGAGAAGACAGCGCTGCGCCGCATCCCACTTGCCTGAACTGCCGGATAGCTTCTTTGGTTGGATACCTGTGCTGTATCGGATTACTGAAGAGCAGGTGCTTGAGTCGGCGGGCTTAGATGCATTTGTGGTAAGTGCTGCTACAAGCCCCCGTCAGCTTGGTCCTGGTCTTAGGTAGTGGCTGACAACCCGATGTCCGATGCAGTTCTTGACCTTCCTCAAATTCGCGATTCGGTTCCTCTCCGCCGTGTTCTTCTTCGCCTTGGTCATTATCCTCCCTATGCATTACAGGAATACCGGCAAATCGGGCTTCCCGGGCTGGGACGACGATGACGAGCCTGTCGACACCTTTGATGGCGATAAGGACAAGAAGAAGATTATCTCGGACCCGAATTACCTCTGGATGTATGTGGTATTCACGTACATCTTTACTGGTCTCGCCGTCTACATGCTCGTTCAGGATACAAACAAGGTCATTCGCATCCGGCAGCAATATCTTGGGAGTCAGACAAGCACGACAGACAGGACGATTCGTCTCTCTGGCATTCCTCACGACATGGGGTCGGAGGAGAAGATCAGAGAGTTTATAGAAGGTCTACAAATTGGAAAAGTGCAAAGCGTTACCTTGTGCAAAGACTGGCGCGAATTGGACCGGCTAATTGATGAGCGGCTCAAAATCCTTCGGAACCTCGAGGGGGCATGGACGAAGCACTTGGGTTATAAACGTGTCAAGGCTAACGCGAATCGATTGCCATTGTTGCAGCAACATGCGCGTGGATCCAGCATCGTTTCGGAGGAGGATAGCGAGCGCATACAGCTTCTCTCTGACAGCATGCCAGATCACGTCTTTGACTATGCTCACAAACGACCGACTACCCGCATCTGGTACGGGCCACTCAAGCTGCGCTACCGGAATGTTGATGCTATCGACTATTACGAAGAGAAGCTGCGGCGGATCGATGAGCAGATCCAGCTTGCACGCCAAAAGGAGTACCCACCTACCGAGATCGCATTCGTCACGATGGAGTCTATTGCCGCCTCGCAAATGGTTGTACAGGCCATCCTTGATCCGCAGCCAATGCAGCTTCTTGCTCGGTTGGCACCAGCTCCTGCCGATGTTGTGTGGAAGAACACCTACATCCCTCGCTCGAGACGAATGATGCAATCCTGGTCCATCACAGTTGTCATCGGCTTCCTGACGGTTTTCTGGTCTGTGCTTTTGATTCCTGTGGCGTACTTGCTCGAGTATGAGACGCTTCACAAGGTGTTCCCCCAGCTCGCGGATGCTTTGTCACGGAACCCTCTTGCCAAATCCTTGGTTCAAACCGGTCTTCCCACTTTGGTCCTCTCGTTGTTGACCATCGCGGTGCCGTACCTTTACAGTTGTAAGTCACTCTTTGTTAGTCTTCGTCGCTACAGGAACTGATCGGTTATTCAGGGCTGTCGCATCAGCAGTGCATGATGTCTCGCGGTGATATTGAGTTGTCCGTCATTTCGAAGACCTTCTTCTTCTCCTTTTTCAACCTCTTCCTTGTCTTTACAGTGTTCGGGACTGCAACAACATTCTTCGGTTTCTGGGAGAATCTCAGAGATGCATTCAAGGATGCCACCACCATTGCCTTCGCACTGGCCAAGACGCTGGAAAACTTCGCCCCTTTCTACATCAATTTCCTGTGTCTACAGGGTATAGGATTACTTCCATTTCGTCTCCTGGAGTTTGGGAGCGTGGCGATGTATCCCATAAACTTTCTCGCTGCGAAGACACCCCGCGACTACGCCGAGCTCAACACGCCCCCTGTGTTCAGCTACGGATACTCTATCCCACAGACGATTCTCAGTTTAATCATCTGCGTGGTTTATAGTGTCTTCCCCAGCTCGTGGTTGATCTGCCTTTTCGGGCTGATTTATTTCACCATCGGCAAGTTCATCTACAAGTACCAGCTTCTCTATGCCATGGACCACCAACAGCATTCAACCGGGCGAGCGTGGCCCATGATATGTAGTCGTGTGCTGATGGGCCTGATTGTCTTTCAACTCGCGATGATTGGTGTCCTGGCATTGCGCCGAGCCATCACCCGCTCTTTACTTATCGTTCCCCTCTTGATGGCAACTGTGTGGTTCAGCTATTTCTTCTCGCGTAACTACGAGCCCCTGATGAAATTCATTGCGCTGAAGAGTATCGACCGTGAACGCCCTGGTGGAGGAGATATCTCGCCTTCTCCATCGTCGACTTTCTCGCCGCCATCTGGTCTCGAGCGTGATGCCTTCCCGATCCGAATTGGTGGTCAAGAACTGGGGCTTAGGCTCAAGAAATATGTGAATCCGAGTCTCATCTTGCCCCTCCATGATGCTTGGCTTCCGGGACGCGGCACAGCCCCAGGATATCAGGGAGACTCTGGTGTCCAGGAGACGCCAAATGTCGCACCCGACGAGAGTGTCTAAGGCTTTGCGGGCAACCCCATTCTGGCAGTATGCCTCGCATATCTCATCCATGCCCCCTGCACATACAGCCTCCCTATACCTTGTTTGTATTTCCACGGCTCGTCTCTCATTCCTCTCCTTGTGGATGACGCTTGATGATCTATGATGCTACGCCCACAATATCTACGAGATAGCCATATTCTCTGACTTTGAACTTTCATGTTATACGTATCGACCGCGCCTATAGACACATTGCTGAGGTGGGGGGCTTTGTCCACATTTCGTCAGCATGTCTTGCTTTTTTGTACATTGACCTCTCGTTTTATTGATACCAGGAGCTGTTGCTCGTCAAGGGCCATACTAATATGTAACAGTATTTTGTGACATGACTTTTGTTGATTATTATGAATGTAAAGAATGTATTTAAGTGTAAGAAGGCGGCTAATCTTGAAGCAAGCAGCACCTTCCTTACTGAACCTCTCATTAACCACCGAATAACGTATCGTTTTAAGAAAGTACCCAACCCTGCAGTGCGCAGTGCAGGCGTAGAGCTCTTCAGAATTCGAAGCGATCCGTTGGAGTTATCTATGATACTTATACAGTTTACTTCAATTCTTAAGTATGTCCAATGGTTCATCTGACGATATTGATTTGACTGTCGCTAGACGCAGCCAAAAGTAAGCAAGCTTACACTTCCCTCAGTTTATACTCAGACTAACACATGTCAACCATGCGCGATCCGCTAGAAGACGTGACTTCCCCCACAATACATAATCCCACCCACAATCAATTCCATCACAACGTGACTAAACCTGAAGGGTATGTCCCAGCTAAGCAGTCCAAGTACGGTGAAGAGTGTGATTGTCACGAAAATATCCGCCGTCCTGGTCTCATTGTATACCAGTGACGAGATCGTCGATAAGTCATTCGAACAGTTTCAGAAGAGCACCGCAGAGGAACATTACATTCAAACTGACATTGACCCATCGGTACCTCCCACTGTCTTTTCCTTGAACCTTCCGAGTAAGCCATCACATTCTAATCATCTGAATCGGTGATAGAAACCTGGACCAAGCCCGAAGCTAGATTACTCTGAAGCGGAATTGCATCACAGTCCCATATGCGAGGTTCCCCAAGACGAGCAAACCCTCATAGACCTCGGAGTTCGACTGCCTACGGAGATGCCTGATAGTGCGAGCGGCAGACCGGTCAACAAGCGTGTGGCAAGGTGTGTCTCCAATGGGGTGGATTGGGATGAGGACTTGAGACCCAGCAACGAGCCGGGCGAAGTTACGGCACACCCGGGAAGCACAGAAGCGACTTCGGTTCCATCACCCTTACCTGTGGACACCTATACCTTCAATGACGGCCACAAACCTCGCGGGATCACGAGTGCGTCAAAAGGGAAGGTGAGGCGGAAGAAGCCGTCGACTGGAAGACGTTCTACAACAGCCCAACGAACTGTGTCGAAGAAGACCAACCCGAAGAAACGCGGAGCTCCTGTGTCTGATGAAGAAGGACAGGGCAAGAACCTTGGAACTCGGCGAAACAGGCTGATTGTGACCCTGCGCCATGTTGGTAGCCCACGGAGTGCCGGCACCCAAGCTCCTCGGCCTCTTTTGGGAGATGGAGCGTCTGTTAATGCTATGTCAAGCCCTGCGGCTACGGACAAGAACCTCGAAACTCTTTTGTCCGACAAGGAGAACATTGACTCAATCCTGTCTATCATCCAGATCCCGGGCATTGACGGCAGTGACGGGATAGAGCTCTATCGCTCTGGCCTCCAAGGTGAGAACAGTGAAGACATAACAGCTCCTATGACCCGCAGCCAATCGCTCGAATATCGAAGACAGGAGGTGCAGGTTCACCCTGTTGAAGGGTCGTTCGCAGCATTATGTACGGTTGGTATGATGACAGACAAATCTCTTCAGAACAAGAGTGATGAACTCGAGAACTTGACCAGCAATGACAAGAGTCCTCCCGTATACCCCGAGTCAAGCATGGCATTCATGGAGGACACAGGCTGGAAAGCTCAAGAGATAGGTACTGAAATAACTCTTCACGGAGCTATGTCTATCGAGCGTGATCCCGCAGGGATTTCCAGCTCAAGAAGCACATCACCGTCCGTGACATCGGAAGAGACTCCTTCGAGAGAGCATCATACCCAATCGAGCTCTCAGGAGAGTCTAAGCGCCGAGGCTGTCAGCATTTCCCCCTGTTCCCTCCAAAGGACCCCTAGAAACACGATAGTCGATACCAATGGAAGTCCCCGCCTCCTTTCAGAGCAATATAAGGAACATTACAAGACACAGGCAGTTGTTCTAGGGGACGTGGCATCCCTGCCTGAGTCCTACAGAGGCCATACGACCGGGGAAGGGCCAGCTTCCTTTGCTAACCGGCTGAAATTATGCGCAGCTAGAGATAACCGGCCGGAAATATCCGGACCTATCCAGAATACTGCCGTGCAGAAAATGCTGCTGGAGACTAGCGAGGTGGGTCCAACACTCTACGAGCGCGGAATTACGGACGAGTATTGCTTGTGCTGACTGCGGTGATTGTGCCAAGTCTTTAAACCGCCACATCGAGAGCGAGAACACTACTATAAGCGAGGTGTTTGAGTCATTCCGGAAGAACTGCCATGACATGCTTGACCAGCTCTCAGAAGCTCAGGAGGCACGGATTAGATTATGCCAGCAACAGATGGAAGGTATTCGCAAGCATCATTCCAAGATCTGCGAGGAACTGGTTCACCGGATGGAGAGAGATGAGAAGCGATTTCAGAAGCTCCTCGGCATCAATTAAACTTCTAGATATAGTTTCAAGCGATCTTGCATAACTATGGCATTTGACGTCAACAAGAACTTCGCGATGGAAGAGAAGCTTTGATCTTACATGTTCAGCTACTTCTGCCAATTAGAGTTGACGATGGTGAGGCAATTGACAATTTACGAGTATCTCATTCATGCCCGCTGCCACATTGAGTAATGGACAGTCTGTTCATCCAGTTCCACCTTGATGGAGTTCCCAGTACATCCAGTCTGGAATGCCATGCCTCATGGAAGTCATGGGTCAGTCACCCGAAATGGTAGGGAGCAACAATACTATGGACGCCGGGACTCCCGAAGCGACCCTGAGTAGAACACGCTCTCAAGCACCGCAGATCGATCGTATTTGCTTCCAGCATCAGCTATTATTGGGAAAAATGGATCAACGATGGCAATTGAGTAGTGATTGACTACTGAGCTCTGTGCAGTACAGCTGCAGGACGCAGTGAGTGTATTCCAGGGGACGCAGCCAATGGGAACGACAGTGTTGGGCATTTGTCCGCTCACCGAGGTCACGTGGATCGAAAGATTATGACTCGAATGGAAATGCGCCCGCCGACTTAGGAGGCCAGCCAAATGCGAGTGACGAGGTTTTGCCCCTCTCCCAGGAACAATCAGGTTTGACAATTTCTTATAAGAGGCGCATTGAACTGGCCTTCAATTGAACTACAACTCGGCTGTTTTGGTACAATTGACTCCCCAGGTCAATCTTTTTTCTCTCCATTCATAACCTTGGTTGCTCTCGTTTGAATCCACTCTATCATCTCCTTCCCTTCTTATAGTTCATCGGGCATACTATCTGCCTATCTCTCTCTCTATCGCCATCTCATCCCACCCCGCCGCCGCCGCCGCTGCCCACCATGTCGGTGAGTCACCTGCGGCCATCCTTGATGTTTTCGATTCCATGCTCATCATAGCCCATACAGTTCTTCATTGAAAACCCTAATGTCGGAGACAGAACTTCCTTGGAAGACTCACGAAGTATGTGTGCTCCCCAGTTTATTCATTTTTTCATGCCATTGTCACTAACGACTTGCGTTCTTCCACCCCAGTTCGCGGATACAACCCCCTTACTCCCCCCAACCTTCTTCAACATGAGATCGCCTTGACGGATAAGTCGAGACAAACGGTCCTTGAAGGCCGTGAGGAGGCCACGGCCATCGTTCAAGGCACGGACACCGACCGGCACCGCTTGATGGTCGTCATTGGACCATGCTCGATCCACGACCCGCAAATGGCCCTCGAGTACTGCGATCGGCTGTTGAAGTTGAAGGAGAAGTATAAGGATGAGCTGCTGATTGTCATGCGCTCCTACCTCGAGAAGCCCCGGACTACCGTCGGCTGGAAGGGTCTGATCAATGACCCGGACATTGATAACAGCTTCAAGATCAACAAGGGTCTGCGCATCTCTCGCCAACTCTTCGTCGACCTCACCAACAAGGGCATGCCGATTGCCAGCGAGATGCTCGATACCATCTCCCCGCAGTTCCTGGCCGACTGCCTGTCGGTTGGAGCCGTGGGGGCTCGTACCACGGAGTCCCAGGTCCACCGGGAGTTGGCCTCAGGTCTGTCCTTCCCCGTCGGGTTCAAGAACGGCACCGATGGCTCGCTGGGCGTGGCGGTGGATGCCATTGGCTCCGTCAAGCACCCCCATCACTTCCTGTCCGTCACCAAACCCGGTGTCGCCGCCATCGTCGGCACCGTCGGCAACCCGGATTGCTTCGTCATCCTCCGCGGTGGCACCAAGGGTCCCAACTACGACGCGCAGAGCATTACGGAAGCCAAGGCGAAGTTGGCGGCCCAGGGCCTGCCGCCTCGTCTGATGGTGGACTGCAGCCACGGCAACTCGCAGAAGAACCACAAGAACCAGCCCAAGGTTGCCGCTGTTCTGGCTGAGCAGATCGCCGCGGGCGAGACCGCTATCATGGGTGTGATGATTGAAAGCAACATCAACGAGGGTACGTAGAAATCTTTGTTGTTGTCTGGTTCGTTTTGCTGATGCTTTTTCTTTTTTTGCAGGTAACCAGAAGGTCCCTCCCGAGGGCAAGGCCGGCCTGAAGTACGGTGTCAGTATCACCGACGCCTGCATCCACTGGGAAGACACGGAGCTGGTGCTGGAGAACCTGGCCCAGGCGGTGCGCGCTCGCAGAGAGAAATTGACCTCTTAGTGAGCGGCTCTCGCCCGGGTTTCTGTATTGTTCTGAGGTACGACTATAATTGGTTTGGGGAGCGGGGGTAAACACAAAAGTGATCTATGAGTTTCTGTTGTATTGAATCTTTCTACGCCCTTGCGGCGGGTAATAAGCCAGGTAATGAATATCAATGAATACTATTTTGAATGGCTCGGCCACATGGACTGTGTAGCCAGTCCTTGAGCAAGCGGCACCCATGCCTACCTACGGTCTCGATGTGTCCTCCGATGCGGACTGAGCTTGGCCGAGGTAAGCTAGACAGTATTTTGGCCTAATTCCCTAGCATTGAACGAGTATTCACTCGACAAAAAAGTCGACGACAACGACGCGATTTGAACGCGCGCGGGCGAACCCAACAGCTTGCAGTGCTATCAGATAGCATTCGAGGCTGTCGCCTTAACCACTCGGCCACGTTGCCTTGATGAAGACAAGAAAGCTGCGCTTGCAACTATAGCGTAAGGGAGGGTACCTGTGCCGATGCTTGCCCGACATCCATGAAGTATAGGCAAGTCTAAGAATAGGAGCTTTCTGACGGGCAGGCAGGCAGGCAATAGGGCTTTCACGAACCCTCCTTGCCGTTGAAGAGTTGCCCATTGCGCAGAGCCTTAGAGGTAAAGAAGGCGCCTCGGAGCACCGACACATCGCTGGCTATTTGCGCATTGGCATAGATCATAGACAAGATGTTAAGCGGTGATTGATTCGGATCCATACGTAAGCTGAATGGCGAAGATGAGTGGAACGTGATGAAGTATTCCCCATTATTATGGCTCATGATGAGGGAGATCCGATAAGATCTAATCTCCACGATGCCTGCAGGCACCGAGAGCTACTATGCACGGGACCATTACTGCATTCAACTGCGGGATTGCGCAATCCACTACCCGTTGGTTGCTGCTCTATGGTCACTGGTAAGGGACCATGAGCTTAAATCAGAGCCGCATTGTTAGTGATGCTCAAGGGGAAAGAATACACCATCTCAAAACCAAAGAACAACAACAGCAGCAATGGTTGCAACTCTCTCACCTACCGGGTATAAGAGAGTATTGGTAATCAAAGCCCCGGCTGGTCGAGGATCCGTTCCGATAACCCCGGCTTCGCCAACAACGACCAACCGAGCGACCCAGAAACCGAAACCTGGTTTCCAGAGTTTCATTAGATATAAATCCACCATGTTGCTCACGGGCTGCCAGCAGGTCATCTCCATGGCTTTGGGGATTGCGAAATCGGTCTCCATTCGTTACATCGATTCCATTGATTGAATTTCAGCATCATTGTCAAGTGTCAGTCTTGAAAGGCGCTCGATTGTACATACCTACAACCGCGGAGTATTCCTACAATGGTTCACAGGGAAACTTCAGACATGGGCGATGCACCACAGCAGCAGCAGCAGCAGCAGCAGCAGCAGCAGCCCAGCTCCCTCACCACAACCACCATGGCGAACCCCTCTCTCAACAGAGACACCCACCTCGCCGAGAAGCTGGCCGCGCTACAAGCGCACGGCGTCAGCGCGCAATCGCTCCCTACCTCCGATGACTCCGTCCTCTACCTCGCCTACGGCTCGAACCTGAACTCAGAAACCTTCCTCGGCATGCGAGGCATCCGCCCTTTGTCCAGCACGAACGTCGTCGTCCCCAGTCTGTGGCTTACCTTCGATCTACCGGGAATACCTTACGCGGAGCCGTGTTTCGCGGCAACGAGATACCGTCGGGGTGCGGCCGAGGGCATCGAGGATGAGGACAGGGGATATCAAGATGGGGAGGGCATCGCAAATGTCCGCAGCGACACGGACAACGCTCCACCGAAGGAAACAGACTCCTCCCTCCCCCTCCTCACGAACCACAACCGCAACCACAATCCCACAGGCGGAGAACCAGACTACAGCCCGCGCATGCCGCTCGTCGGCGTCGTCTACGAGGTCACCCTATCCGACTACGCGCGCATCATCGCCACCGAAGGCGGCGGCCGCGGCTACATCGACACCGTGATCGACTGCTACGCGTTCCCCAAGACCTACAATCCCCATACGGACCCGGTCCCCGAACACCCCGGCACCGTGCCCTTCCAAGCACACACATTACTGTCCCCTGGCGCGGCGGCTGCTGCTGCTGCTGTTGCTGCTGCTGCTGCCGCAACCGCAACCGCAACCGCAACCCCCCATTCCACCCAAAACCCCCAAATCCACCCGCCCCAACCCCTTCTACGCCCAACCCTCAGCCCGCTACCTCGGCCTCATCCGCGCCGGCGCCGCCGAGCACAACCTCCCCCGCGCCTACCGCTCCTATCTGGCCGGCATCCGGCCGTACCGGATCACGACGCGGCGACAGCGGGTCGGGCAGGTCGCGTTCCTGGCGGCGTGGGGGCCCCTGGTCATGGTGCTGATCGGGCTGGGCCGCGCGCTGGCCGGCCCGGATGGTCGGCATCCGGGTTGGTTGGTGCGGGCGCAGGATGCGGTGTTTGGGGCGATGTGGCGGTCGTATGATTCGTTTTTCGTGAGGGTGTTTGGGGATGGGGAGCGGACGGTTGGGTCTGCGGTCATGGAGGGGGAGGATGGAGATGGAGATGGGGTGGTGGGGGTGATGGACGTACCAGAGGGGGAGGGGGTTTGTTGATGCTACCGTTCGCTATTAGAATGCAGGTAGTTACTAGCTAGAGAGGGTCACTTGCTAGAGATCATGATATGAGGCACAATGTAATGATGTGGGCTGGGGTTGAGGGGGGAATAAGAGGTATTGGTGCTCTTGATGCATGGTTTCAGTATCGGAAAGAACATTCTAGTACTCCGTACATGTGTCAAAGCTCACCGTTTATACAATGAGATGAGCAGCAGATGCCTAGCTCCCGCTCTTTTTCTACGTGTTGATGAATGAAAGCGAGAGCAAGGGAGAAGAAAGCCGATATCACACATCTGCCACACCCACAACCACACCCACAGCACACATTAACTGTCCATACCTAAAACTCACGATCCGAATCAAAACATAAGAAATTGTGACATTGCGGGGGGGGACCTTCAAAAAAACAACATTTTCAAAGGAAAATAAATATCTAGGATACAAGATACAGGTGTCCTGTGGAGTAGGTAAAAAAAACAAACAACACACACTTCTAACGAAACATAAAGCAGAGACCACACCGAATAAACGTCCGTGAAACAGCACAAGTCTTTGCAGCAGGGAAGAAAAAAAACACGTAAGGACGACTCCCAGATTTGTTATGATACAGGCATTTATATCAAAAAAGCTTTCGCCCGTCGCCGAAATTGTTCTTTATTTTTTTCTTTTATCTCCCTTTCTGGCAGCCTCCCAATTTCACTTGGTTTGAAGGTGTTTGGCAAACATTTCTAGGGTGGTTCCGCTTTCTGCGAGGCCTCTCCTCTTCTAGCGCCGGGAAACGGGGGGGCTGTACACGATCTTTCTCGTCTTGATCGGGGACCACTTGTAACGCTTGACCCAGACGCTCAGGGCGAAGAGACCGGTCAGAAGGGTGATGGCCTTAACACCCATCTTCTTGCGGTCGTCCATCTCGGGCTCGGCGGCCCAGTTGAGGAACTCGACGACGTCCTTGGCCATCTGGGAGGTGGTGGCGGGGGTGCCGTCCTCGTACTCGACGACACCGTCGAAGAGAACACGACCCATGGCAATACCTGGGATTCAGCGGTCAGATGAAACGGTCTTCGGCCAACAGGGAAATAAAATGGTATACATACCGGTACCGGGGAAGTAGGGGTTGAAGTTCATGCCCTCACCGAGGACAACACCAGCTGGGGGCTCGTCGGGGTAACCGGTCAACAGACTGAAGATGTAGTTGCAGCCACCGTGACGGCCCTTGACGATCAAGCTGAGATCCGGGGGCAGAGCACCACCGTTGGCAGCACGGGCGGCCTCCTCGTTGGGGTAGGGGGCGGGAATGTAGTCGGACAGCTTTCCGGGGCGCTTCTCAATCTCGCCCTGGTCGTTGGGCTCGGTGTCGTACTCGTACTCTTCGGCCATGGCCTTCATCTCATCGACGGTGTGGAGGACACCGACGAACGAGCGCCAGGGCACACGGGTCAGGGAGTGGCAGCTGGCACAGACTTCACGGTAGACCTGGAAACCACGGCGGAGACTGTATTTTGAACACAGAAGAAATCATATGAGCATAATTGCCGAGGTTGCGGGAGTCGCCAATAAGGTCAAGGTGGGCTTCCTGATGTCGGGAGAGAAGAGAAAGATATTACTCACGCGGCGTGATCGAAGGTCTTGTTCCACTTGGCGTGCTCCCAAGGGTATGCGGTAGCGTGCAGACTGTAGTTCGATGCTGTTAGCTTTGTGGTGGTGTGGTTGGCCGGGTTGGGACGAGCCATCGTTCCGGGGCAGCGGAGCTGGTCTGGTCGACGGCCGAAACTAATAAATTCTTTCTAGAGTATTACTCACCCCTCCTCAGCAGGCGTCATGGCGTGAGCCTCTTGGCCATAGAGATAGGCGGCCGATCCGATAGCGACGGCAGTGGCGGCGGAGGCAGTGAGTGTGAGGTTGAAGGGGGAGCTGGCGGACTCAGGACCGGCGGCAGAGGAAGACGCACGCTGGTCAGCAAGTTAGTCAAAGGCTCTTGCTGAAGGCTCGGTGATCGATTGCACATCGATTGACCTCATGGTATGGGGTCAATTGGCGTCGAAGTCCGGGAATAGCGTACCGTGGAGGTCTTGCTCAAGGTCTGACGTGCGACACCCCGGAAGGGCACGCTGCGCAAAACAGTACGGCCCAGCATACTGACGATATGTATAACCCTCCGAACGATGGGTAATTAAGACGGCACAATAGCCACAGAAGGGGTGGGGGGAGGAGGAGAGGGAGGGGGGAGGGGACAAGGCTGGAGCGCAGTGGGAGAATGTGCTTTTGGAGGTTCAATTGAAGTCGAGGTTGGTCGAACGGGTCAAGTTTCTCTTGGGCTTGGAATTGCCTAAACCCTCCCGCTGATTGGCTGCTGGCCGGCTGCTAACTGGCTTCGGTGAAAACCGCGACTTTTCGGAACAAACAATTTTCGAGGCCGGCATCATTTGGTCTGATGCACTGCACCGTCACTTCCTCAAACCACTACTCGGTCTAATCCTCTTGGAGGCATTTCAGACTTCGTGATGATGTTCTTCCTTCTCCCTATACCTCCATGTCCTGGTCTACCACCCTCAATGGCTCTGGATCCCTCGCCTTGCCTCCCTTCGCCTCACTGACTTTGGTTTCAATCCGCCTGCTCTAATTGGTTAGTCATCTTCTCCGCCGCGATGCCCTTTCGCAGCGCATCAACGGCCTTGCGAATATCGCTCCTTCCTTCCTCGCCATACATTACTAGCGATAGAATGGGCAGTCGACGAACTGTTCGGCCGCTCAGTCCCTACGTTGAGAGTTGAAGTCACGAGTCAGCGTGGTATTCACTAAACCTCCAGAGAATGCACTGACCAGACTCTCCGACACCGCCTCGGCCAGCAGTGTGGGGATGGCCTCTGGAAACATCGGGTAGTTGACAATCATCTCATCATACGTCGGTAACATGAGCTGCTCGGCCGGCTCTTCCATGTACGACAATCGCGTTTGAGGATCATCCGGTTGAAGTAGTTTCACCTCAAATGCGGCCCCTTCGATGATACGGTTACGACTCATCTCCTCGAGGCAATCTTTGTAGATGCGATAAATCGATCGGCTGGATAAATTCGGCACACATTGCTTGATATCGACTCGGTCGAGAAACGCTGGATCCTACACAAGACGACGACGCCTATCAGCCGCTTTCATATTGTGCTATAGTTGAATGCTTACCAGGGCAGTCAACAAGTTGCTCGTGCAGACCACAATCACATTTGGATGGGCCTTGATTTTGTCGAGGCCTGTCAACAGAGCGTTCACGGCTCGGATGGCATCAAATGGTTCGTTGCTACTCAAGGCTCGATCTCTGCGGGCAGCGAGCGTCTCGATTTCATCGATGATTACGCAGACCAGCGTTTCGTCCTCCTCTTCAAGCAGCAGATCTATGCGCTCAAACATCTGATCCACCAACTTCGCTCCCTCGCTGAAGAACTTACTTCCTAGCGCATGCGCGTTGATCTCGAACATTTTACTCTGGGGATAGTCTTTCCCCAGGCGTATTGCGAGCTTCTGAGCTAAACCGCGGCTGGGATGCTTTTAGTGTCTAGACTCATGGCCACATGCTGGAACGCACCACAAGCTTGTTTTACCGGTCCCAGGTGGCCCCCATAAGAGAACCAGCTTGTTCCAATTAATAGTCCATCTGTCGAGCTTGCAGGCAGAGAATGAGACTAGATGTCTGTAATTAGGAAACTGCGGAACAAACGCCTGCGTCGTAGATCACTTACGCATTCTGCTTATAGCAGTAAGTATCGTTGATTGTATAGGCTCATCGAAATGCAAGCTATCAGACATAGATTAGACCAGCGCGCGAGCATGGAGCTGGAGATGGGGTAGAGCTTCCGTACGATTCCCAGAGTCCATTCAGATCTGAGTTGGGAAGTGCCATGATCCTCGCCCTCGTTGAGTTCATACTATTCTCGGTGTGACCATTAAGAGTCTGGGCGAGGTGAGGGTCCTCGGACTCCAGTTGGGTATGGAGCTGATATGCTTGAACATCCAACCTCACCTGGTCCAGGGGATATGCTCCGGACTCTATAGTACCACCGGTGCACTCGCAAACAAGCACGGAATCCAAAGCCTGAGCGTGGGAGTTACTCAGCCCATCTGCTCAACGATTAACAGTCTTGTCTGGATGCGTTGGCTGCGGTTGACTTGCCGAAGGAGACGATCTCTTGTCCAAGGGAGAGAACCACGAACTTGTCAGTCAGCCACTTGGTGAGGTCGTCTCGGATCTATGCAGAGGTCAGAGGGGGTGATTGTCGAGTCTTTTAGCTGCCTACTAAATCCGTGCGGATGATGATGCCGTCATTGTTGGTCTTGACACGAGCTTCAATGTGAAGAACTGGCTGTTGCACTTCTATCGTACGTGAGATGCAACTGGTCGAGCCCATTTTCGGCTAAAGATCCTGTAGGACTGGTGACACATGTAGCACCATTCATTGATAGGCGGATATGAAGTACAGTAGAGCTGAGATGCTCGTGGTTCAAGAGAGTCGACGAAAAGAGTAGGTACTCAGCATACTAGGTAGGTAGCCTGGGGCACCTTCTAGACCCGTAACTGTCCGTAGCTCAATCTCTTCTCTCCGCGATCTCAACATCCAATTAATTTCCAATCACTACCATTTCATCCTTGCTGTTTCAGAGCATGGGTTTCAAGAACCAAAGCTTGGGTTACCAGCAGTGGATGCTAATCGTTCCTATTCAGAACTCCTACACTAAATATATATACATCCTCGATGTTTCGGGAACCACAGCTGGATCACAATTGATGGGAAGTACTTAACTGTGTATGAATCTTTTCTCCAGATCTAGAACAGATACTCACTAATTGATCTGAGCTCGCTTGCATTAGGTGAACACACTATCTCCAAGTGACGACGCCAATCCATGTTCATGCTGCTGGTTTGATAAAGCATGATCGAACCGGCGGCTTGGGCCGGAAAGGAAAAACATCCGGCTGATCCATTCCCATAGCCCGTTTTCTGGGGTTGGCGGTTGACACGGACCGTTGAGAGTGCCAATAGGTGCTCACAACCTCTTTATTTAATACAAAGCAGATTTTCTTTTCACATGCGCAGCCATACAGGTGCCTTATCAACATTATGGTACCCGGGCTACCGTGAATTTGAGCTCAACCTTATCGTGACCTGAATTTGGGGTCGCCCCGCGGAGCGAACTACTTACTACTAGTAGCTTCTTGGTGGGCACCGCCCACTGGGACCCTGACCGACTTGCCCGGCCGGACTTCAGCTGCGCCGGTGCTCACTGAACCACAATACATATCCCGATGCCAAATCGCAGTTGATCATAATGCAGAACGCCAGGAATGGGCCAGGGAACAAACAGAAGCCCCGCAGAGATGTTTTGGCTTCACTCAGAATGGCCTCCATGGAGGAGATCTCCAGGGCGGCCCTTCCAGCAGGTATGGCTCGTAAGCAGCGGCTATAGCCAGAGATCTTGAATATGTTTGCTTGGGATTCTAATGTTGACCGATCGCAATGCAGAGATCATGTCGTCCATCCTTGATTATCTCTCCCCCGTCGACCTCATCCGAGTCGCTCGGTCGTCGAAACTCTTGCGCGAAATGGCGTACGATGATACCAGATGGGTGCAGAAGCTGAAACAGATCGGGTGCTGGGACGAATTAGAGGCTCGCAAACATGTTGAAGACACCTTTGGAACCATAGCCGACATGAAAACCATCGAGCACAAAGAGGCGGTGGATCTCCAAGAAGCAATTGATGCGACTCAGCGCAAATCTGACCACGCCTTGAGTTCGCTCGCGGATGGCTTCGACCAAATCCAACTGTCTGCCCCTGCTGTCACCAATGTCAAGGATGATTCAGAGGACGATCCGGTCTTGGGTGTGTTGAGACAGGTCAAATCAGTGCGCGGAGAAGCTCGTCAAGAGTATGGAAAGATACACGCGGCGTTGGCACCATACTATAATGATATTGTCACATTAGGAGCTTCGGCGGACAGTCTGCTGTTTCGAGACTACAGCAATCCGCAACACCAGGCACAAATACTTTCTCAGCTGCAGGCGTTCGCCAACTGTGATTGTACCGACGGTTGGCATGAACGAACCCAACAGTTGCAGTCAGCTGTGTCGGCCTTCGAAACGAACGCGGTCAAAGAGTTTCGACACGGCTATGAGACTGAAGACATCGAAAATAGAATGCGGGAATACGCCCATGTGCTATATACGTTGAACGGTGGTGGCGCAGCAATCGAGCTCTTCATCCACCACAACCACCTGGTTACGCGCAAATCGGATTTTGGAAGTGTGACAGACTGCATCGACACTTTCGCAGGAAGTGTTAAGCTGGAACATACCCAGGCTTTCTTCACCCGGATGAGTGTTGCCTACAACGAGGAGGTCTCAATTATAAACCGTGCTTTCCCCCCGCAATTACAGGTCAGCACGCCATTTATCGAAAAAGTCGGACAAGATGTACTATTCCCATACTTGACAGCTATCTTCGACGAATTACATCGCACGAACATTGAGTCTTACCTCACAGCGGTTTCGGGAACATTCGCACAATGTCTCAATCTATCGGAGACACTGCTGCCCATTCAAAACTCGCCAGATACGTTTGACGAGTTCTTGCAGCACGTTATTGCAAAAACATATGAACCTCACCTGGATCTGTATTTTGCAGAAGAATTAGACCATTTCCGGAAAAAGTCTGAAGCAGCAGTCGGGGAATGGGATCGGCAACTCTCAGAGCAGGCTGCATCAACCGAGCTGTTTCTGATGTCCAACATCAACCGACAGGCTGACAAACGGGACTTTCTGACCTCGTTCAAAAAAGTGATCATGGCGCCCGTCAACATCCTTCCCAGCTTTTCAGGGAGCAAGACAACGGAAACCAAGTCGACTCCAGATCCCTCTCCTGATGATGCGTCATCTTTGAAGAGCCCAAACCGATTTTCCACGATCGGTTCACCTGCCACACCTCCAGTGATGGAAGCACCGACTACAGAACTTGCAGCAAAGGCTGCAGTAATGAAATCCAAGCTAGAAGGAATTCGATCTCTCTTCAGCATTGAAATCGCTCTAAGCCTTGTGCACGCCGCGAAATCCAGCCTAGAACGAGCTGCTCAATTTGTCAGCGTAGGGGGTGAATACGGAAGCGCAGCCAAACAGCAGTGCGAGGCTATTTTCGTTGCTTTAGTGCGCATTCTTGGGCACCGCCATCTGATCGGCGGCTTTGACAAGGCTGTTAGCCATCTATCCAATTATCGGCCTCGCGAACAGGGAGAACGGGACCAGTCCGGAGTCGAGCCGTTGGTGACTTTTCTGGAGTTGGTCAATGTTGGCGATCTTATCTTGCAGATGATCGATGTATTTTACGAGCAGGAGCTTGTTGGCGCTAAGTTAACCGATCGGAATGACTTCCTTGATCCGGCCGTAAAGGAAAAGAAGAAGTTTGAGCAGAACCTCGATGAGCGGGTGGCTGCTGGACTGAACAAAGGCATTGACGTGCTTATGGAGGAAGTGGATTATATCCTCGCGACACGACAGTTGGCGACAGACTTCAACCCCAGTGTTTCCCAGGACCCGTATCGAAAGACGATGGATGTGAACATCACTGAGGCGGCGGCTGCCGTAGTAGATGTGGTATCTTCGCACACCCAGATGCTTGTGGGCAGTACGGACAAGAGCATGCTGGATGTCTTCAACCAGGAGGTCGGACTGCGGCTTTTTGCCGCCTTGTGCAAGCACCTCAAGCGACAGCGGATCAGCATCGAGGGATCCTTGAAGCTTATCAGGTAAGCGCTCTCCCCTTGTTTCAAATTACACCATTGAACACAGCTGACAACCTCTCAAGCGACATGACCCACTATTTCAAATTCATCCAAGGGTTTAAGAACCAGGATCTCCTGATATATTTTAAGGCGCTACGGGAGTTGTCTCAAATCTACCTGATCGACTCGTCCGATGCCAAGGAGTTAGCCACCATCATCGCTGATGCGGATCGATTCTATGGGATTTGGCGGGTGGAGGAAGTGTACGAATTCGCCGAGCGACGAGCAGACTGGTTGCTGGTCAAGCGGGACGTGGAACGAGCCATGTATGGCATTGGATGTAGTGTTATGTGAACCACGAATATACCATGTATATAGAGAGCCATGAATACCCCCATTGAGAACCTGGAGCGCATCAGAGGTATGAGGAATTTGGATCGTCAGGTAGCATCCGGGACGGTCCGAAGGGTCGATCCTCTATTCTAGATCTACCCTTAGTCATAGACCCTGCTTCTTCAAGGCGCCGTTGCATCATGCATTCATAATGTATCGGGATATCGAGAGAGTCCCTCCGTTTCAGGATGTCTTCTTGGTCTGGGCCTGTCTGGGCCTGTCACCTGGCAAGCCGCCACAGACCTTGTTTTTGTAACCTGAAAACATTGAGCAAGCGAACAATTGGTGGATTGACATCTCGACCTGCATACTTTGAC